AATACTCAAGTTTCCCTTCTCAAAAGTCTAATTTTTAATCTGCATTTCATATATTTAAAAACTTAATTTTTTGGAAAAAGGAATAACTATAAGAAATAAGCTTTAATAAAAAATAATCAATTTATTAATAATCAAAAATTTCTTGCCATACAACATTTTCAAGGTTTGATTGATTCCCCACATCATTTTGTATAAAAATATATTTTTAGGATTTTTACATCTTGATACCAATACGTACAGATGACCCTGAAAAAACAAACGTCTTTTGTAGTAAAATCTTAATTTATCAGAACTTTGACCTTGCTATTTATTGATTGTCATGGAAAAAGCTAGAACTATTGAAAATTGTTTTCTGTTTATAATAAACGGTAAAAATGAATTATTACTGGTTTTTACCGTGATTCTTGGAATAAGAACTTTATTACCAGATTTTTCACTAGTTATCATTTCTGCTTCTCAATTATAATTAGATAACTTTTTTATACGTTGTCTAGTGTCATTGCACAATCCATAAAACATACTCAAGTTTCTTATCAGCATCTACTATGAAATTTAAAATATGTAGCTGTAATCCTTCATGTATATTATTTTAAGTTTCCATAGACAAATTTATGTTTATATTCTTATCAGTGCTATCACTACCTATATACTTTGCATAATCTATGCTGTAATAAGTATGTTCTTTTCCTTTAATAAGACTCAAAATTTTATTATTTGAAATGTACGAAAGTTCGTTAAGAGTTGTTGGAATTACTTTGTATAGGCAGCTATTTATACCATCTAAACAAATTTTTTTAGAAACATTATAAGTTATCTATCCTTGTGGAATTTGGCAAGACTTTATTGTTCCATTTCCAATGTCTATTAACAATAATAAAAATGTCAATACATAATTTGAAATATAAAATGCGTTAATTGTGAACTTAAAAGAAGTAAATATTATCTCTTTCTCATTTATTTCAAAGCATTTTAATTAATTACTACTTGGATTTAGGAGATACGGGATCCCTTATATCTATAATTTATATTTTTCTAGAAAAACTTTCTTAGAATCTACAGTAAAATTGTCTTAACTAAATACAGTTTCAAAATAGTTATAAATTTTAAAAAGTAAAAAACATGTCCAAACGATCTCCGGAAAATATGCAGTACGCGCTAGCTACTAAACATGTATCTTTAACATCGAACACTTCTCAATATCTAAATGAATAGGCTATTGTGGTTCTACTTCAGATCTTCCTTCAAGAAAGAGTCAGAAACTGCATTTTGTACAAAAATGTTCGTGCTTCAGTGTTGTCAGTATGAAAAGCAATAAATGTTTATTTTTTGAGCATGTAATCGTTGTAACGTTGTAATCGGATTTTTTTTGTTACTATTGACACTCTTATTCTTAAAATAGCATAAGATAACTTTCAAATGTTTTCGTATCCTCCACTTTCTAAAATAAGTTTTTGTTGGTTGAAATTCATTCTACAAAATGTTTTAGCAACGATTTCATTTTTTATCACCATCATTCTTCTTTTAAAGCTTGTATAATCTTTGAGATTTACGAATGTTTTAGTAGATAATGTTTTTTATTAGATGCATTGAATTCTAATCATACTTATTGCATTGTGAGAGTTTTTTTAACGTTTAACTTACTTTACAAAACTTATAATGTGTTTAATTTACACTTTACATACATTGAAGAGCCGCATCGTGATGTGCTTGTATAGAAATGAAATGCACAGTCTCAAACCTCAGAAAATTTCTAGCGAGAAAGCTCTTCTTACCGGAAAATAAATAAATCTTTTTATACATAGATATCCTTATGTAAGGAAACTTACAAGGACTTTACGTGCTTTTAGAATTTATACTAGTAACATTAAAAAGTTATGAAGACAGTGTGCATAAGTACAACTTTGTCCTCACAATAATTTTTTTCACATAATAATGTCCGTATAAGTCACCATTAATAAATGTTTCTGTATATATATATATAGGGTGACTTATGAGGACTTTACGTGCTTTTAGAACATTCGAGGTGTGTTCAAAAAATAACGAGGATTTTCGTTTTTGATAAAGTTTAATAACTCTCATCTTGTTCTTACTGATAATTTATCAGTTTTAAAAGCCTTCTTCTTACTCGAATGTCATGCGAAGCATGCTAAAAGTAATAATGAGGAAAAGAAAGCTTTCCTAACTATATGTATAATTTATTAAGTGATAACTCAGTAATAGATTATTTGTATTTTTGACACTATACTTTACTTGTTTTTAATAAATTTAGTGCATTCTTTCAAACTACAAAACTAGTCATTAATAAATTAAGAACCAAATGTTCAAAAGTTTTAGTAGCAATGGGCTCTAACTTCCTCACCGATGCAGCAATAAAAAAATTTACTTAAAATTTTAATTCCAAGATAAATGCAGATGAAGACTTCAAATCCATAAAAGATATGACTGCTGATGGTAATTGTATTATTATTTTTAAATCTTTTCCAGATCAACCTACTGTAGATGTTCGGAAAAATTGCTTGAATTTTAACGTGACTGCTTCCAACGAAATCCAAAAAAATTACTTTCACAACGATGATATGCTTCGAACACTTAATTTTCTTGAACCTACAAATGTGTTCAATAGTGAATTTTGGAATCAGAATCCTAACTAAATTAACAACTTTCAGATTCATTTTACGTTTTCAGATATTAATTTTAAATTATGAAAGAAAGAAATTGTGCAGCTGCCATCACTTTTTGTTTTCAATGTTTTAACTTTTTACAATGTTGAAATAGATGAGTTTTTGAAAAAAAATTACTGATTTATTTTTAGAAAATAACAACTTTAGTATAACAATAGATAACAACTAGAGTTTCCAAATTTAAAAGTTTTAATCAAAGCGATTTTATAGTTCCACATTATAACTCCCCCAAAATGGAGATTCATTTACTTAACGCGATTTGTTTTATTCGATCTTATTTTCCAATAGATAAAAATAATGCAATTAATTTTAAAATCTCAAAAGAACATCTTAAACTATTCAGCTTTAAAATGTATAAACGCGATTCAACAGACGATCCAGAAATCAAAATTCAAGGCAGCTTGTAATC